CATAAGAAATCCCGCCAAGCCCAGTCAGTATAAGAGCAATTTGTGCAAGTCATTATGTTGGAGGTAACATCTTTTTATTGTTTGATCACACAAATTGCGCGCAAAAGCCAACTAACCACTTTCCTCCAGATCAAAAAAGGATCGGATGGATGATAGCCTCTTAAGGGCACAGGACTAACACCCACGAAAAATCAGTAGACTGTTCAGAAGTATTCTGTCTGGAGCCTGTTTCAGTGGATCGTCGTTGGATGAGCGAGCCGTGTGACGATGAGATTCCGGTCTCATGTGGCGCTGTTGGTTTGCGTGTGCGGAAGGGGTGTGATTGCCTTGGTGGATTTCATTGCAGATCACAAGTTGGTCAGCGAGAACACACACACAACCACACATAAGTACAGACCGGAGGCACTACCTTGCAGTTCGTCGAAGGTAGTATCATCACGAATTAGACATGGTGGATAAAAGGGGAGAGGAGAATGATTGATATCATTCATGATCCAGTTGGACCATGGATATCTTAAAATAATTCTTTTCTTTTTTAGTACTGTTCACGCAGACAGTACATAACCGAACAGCGGTGTATTTCGGTCCTGGTAGTATTGTATCCAGTTGAAATGAGTTTCGACCTAGTACACACTGCAGTTTTTCCTTTTCTGTTAAGAGCAGATTGTTTTGAGGACTATCCAGAGTTTCGCTTAAAATGATGCAAGTGTAGTTCATGGACGGGGCAATCTGGAGGGAAGAGAAACAGTACACTTTTTACAGATCATTAAAATGAAGAATGAGTGGTATGCGACAATATGAAAATGATCTAGATGGTGATGGTGGCAGTGGGAAGTGCAACAAGGTGATGGTCAACTTATCTCGTGAAATGAGATAAAGCTATAGGTAATTTTGACCAACGGTTGCACGAATAGGTTCATGTTTGCAGGTAGCCAAGGGAAAAGAAAAAAGTGAATCCAGGGTATTGTAATAATTGAAACTTACCATCCTTCGTGGAAAAGAACTGAGTGTGTAACATGTGTAATTACTGAGTGTACCGTACGTATATATATATATATATACATATATATATATATGCATATGTACATATGTATACATAACACCAATCTTTACAGATACGGGCTAAAATAACGCAAAATATGGAATCGGAGAGAGGAAAAACAAAATAGGTCAAATTTGAGAATAACAAATATTTTGTTTGTTTAACGCACGCCGTATTGAATTTTTTGGGTCATTTTTGGAATAGCACACAGAAAAGGATGCATTCACGTAACTGACTTCGATTAGATGCTATATCCCAAATTCAGTCTGAATCTTTGGGGCCCCAGCCGGGGAGCCAGAAAGTCCCAACGGAAGCCAGATCCGGGCACAATCCCTTTGATCCTCTTCGCCACGTCATAGCCCGACCACATCGCTGTTTCTTCCAGGCCCGACCGATGGCGGCAAATAGTTCACGGTATGGCAGACGTTGCTCAGACATTCGTAGTATGTGCTCCAGCTATCTAAGACGATGAAGTGAAATTCTTTGGCTCAGTGGAAGACTGATTCTAACACATTTCGTTATTCACGCGATGCTCCCACCATACGCAGGCGATGTTGCGCAGACAACGGTTGTCAAAGGAAGATGGTCGTTGGACATGATCTACTCGGAGGCCAGGTTTCGCAGCCATTAAGTAACACGGTGCGCGCCTTGGCGCAATAATACGCCGCTTCATTGAAAGGGCAATATCGCGCCGGAGTCAGAGGTGTCACAGTTTAGCCAACATCAATTTAGCATTGCGGGATCTCCTTGTGCACACCACCGCCAGTCGCTATGCGACTCCTCAGATAGAAAAAGCTTTCGAATACTTCCAGAATGTGGTTATCCAACAAAAGTGCAGTAACAGATTCACTGACACTTGAATCGTCCGTGCGATGTCATCGAATTAGGCAATATCATCAGCATACTCCCAGTCTACGACCCTGTTTCCATAAAGAAGCTCTACGCCAGCGTTCGTTACGTTACGTAACGCGTTTTGTAGAACATCATCTATGTCAAAGTTGAAGAGAAACGGAGAGATGGGTCAACCTCGTCGTAACCGACTAGTGACTGGAAATGAAGGTGAAAAGTTCACTATGGGTCCTAACCTTCCCCGAGGTCTGATGGTAGAGTGCTTGTAGAAGTAAAACATAATTCTGTGGTACTCCTTATTTCCGCAAAAAATTCTACAGTGCGGAGCGATTGATGGAGTCGAAGGCCGCTCTGATTTTCGAAAACACGACGATGGTTTGTCGTCTGTATGTGTGGCGGTTTTTTAGTAGCTGAAGAAGGGTGAAGATTTAATTCATTCAACCACGGCGTGCGCGAAATCCAGCATGCTCCTCGCGGATTTGCCTTTCAAGAAATGGACTTAGTCTGTGTAATAAAACGGACGCTAACAGCTTTGGCGCTATTGGAATCAGACGTTTGCCCCTATGGTTGGAACCGGCGTCGCAACAGTCCTTTTTGTAGATTGGTGTAACAATCGATCCCCCCCCCNNNTAGATAGCAGGTCGTCTGATCCAGTTGCCTTATGGCGCTTCAGGGCTTGGCGTTCCTTTCGGATCTTCGCTTCTGTGAGCGGTCCCATAGACTGGCTAGGGTGCACTTTTAAGAAAACTACTTGGGGAAGCCAGGACGAGAGGGTTGGATGAACTGTGATGTGAAGTGCTCTGTTCTGCGTTCCAAGTGTCGGTGAATACTGTATATTAGCGTGCCGTCTACTTCACAGATTGTTTCACTAACGCACTGTCTTTTGGGGTTTGTAGCACGGACGAGTTAGAATAATTGCCGGATGTTTCCACACCTAGCTGCTAATTCCATCTCCTTTGCACGTAGCATCCGCCAGGCTTCTCGGTCGTTTCTCAAGCTCTTTGAGAGTTCATGATGCAAAGAGAGGCGCTGTTCATTGTACTCGTCTATCGAGATTGCCCAACGTGCGTCAAGAAGTCTGAGAGAATTGTAGGAGACCCAGTGTTTTATAACTCGGCGGGNTGGTTGTCCATTGTTGATCTACGCTACTTGATGAGGTAGTAGTTATCCTCGCGGCCAACTCGTTTTGGTAATCGGCTAGCAAGACCGGGTTAGAAAGGTGGGCAACGTCAGGCTATTTACATCTCATCTTTTTGCGGCCACCAAATCACAGAAAACTTGGCACACACCAGTGCGTGGTCGGAGTCCAAGCAGATAGACCAATACGAACGGCAGTCTTTCACACACCCTCTTCATCTATAGAGAATAACTATATGAGTCCACATCTGTGCCGAAGATGGGTCAAGCCAAGTGGTGAGGTAACGCTTTGATTATCAAAAGTTCGTGCTAACGAGGAACAGACCGTGTTCCGGGCGAATGCTAAGAAGTCTATCCCCATTATGTGAACGAGAGCTATCAGGCCCTGATGGCCAGCAGGGTGGGTCTCATCGGGTGGCAGACGGCCAACGAGTGCGCCTGGGTATTCGGCCCAAATCCTTATATCTGTCTTAGGGGCTTTGAGAAGAAGCTCATACAGGTTGGGATAGAAGATATCTTTGACTGTATTCGGGTTACAGTCATAAGGAGCGTATGAGGAAACCACTAATAAGCACCGTTCGTTTGGTTTCAGCCCTTTAATCTAAATGAGCAACGTGGCGATGTTTCACACAAATAATTCAAAGATTCAGTTCAGTTCAGTTTTTACAACCAGTAACCATGCTCTTTGGTGCGCCAATTTTGGTTGCTGTCTCGTGATTGCCCATTTGGATGAAGGAGTAAATGGAAGATTGAAAAAATAAAATCAGTGTCAGAGGGAAACTAGAGAATTCATCCAGGCTAAAGTTGCAAGGATGATGAGTAGATGCAAGACCGCCACTGTCTACGCCACTTAGCTATATCACTCAGTATCACTAACCACTGAATGCAATGATCCCCATACCGCCATCCAGGAAGACTAACGCTACCTATGTGACCGGGTCTGAGTTTGGCCGCCCTTGACCTTTTCCCACCCATCACAGACTAATTTTCGAAGATTAATCAACTACCAAACATATCAAAGTTTGTGTCGCGTCATAAGTATACAAGAAGTAGAGATAAAACTTGATAAAACACTGGGCGTTTATGTTTCATCAATCGGGTATGGTTCAATTTAGGATTGGGTTTAGCCTACGGTGTATTTAATGATTTTGTAATAAGTATGCTCTTAACATGATCTGTTTAGTACAGAGTATATCAATACCCTAGAAGATGGTGAACTAAAACAGTGCACTGAGTACAACCGAGTACGTTTAGAAATATTTTCATGGATAATCACTGAAAGATTGCATTAATTTGCTTTAAAATGAAAAACGTTTTGTCTGCTGTAAATAATACAACCAACACAAAAAATACTTAACTTAGGATTTGAAATGGCTCATCTCCATTTACCTCCAGTCTAATCGACTTCGTGGTCAAGGTGTTATAAAAATTTCGTTTATATCCAGGTCAGGGAAAATAGACATTGGATTCTGAATAGACATTATTAGGGGCATAGAAAAAAGATATGTTTTCAACTTAGCAACATGATCATTGAGGATAGAAACTAGCACCATACACATAAGTGTGTTTTGAAATGTCGTGTACGGGCACATCGAATTTGTTTTCATATTGGTCCCCCTTTGCTCTGCATGCAGAGAACTCGCTGTAACGATGTCAAGTTTTCTATTGCTCATTTCTACAGTTTATTTTAAAGATCATGTTTGTGGTAAACTGCAACCGAGCGTCATGGATGAAATGTGTTCATTGATGATGTAATTTATTCCGACTGGAAATTGCTTTCACGGGACTACCCGAAAGCGGGATTATTCGTCAGACACTGCTGTCATTTGGAAATAAAATTGTCGATCTCTGACGTGTTTTCATAAACTGATTTACACGAATGTTAAATAGACTTAATAGATACGTACTAAACTTCTCCCTTCTTAAAGACAAGTATCGACTTACATTGACAGATGAAACTAGCAAGTTCCATTCATCCTGGAACTGTATCCACGCCAACTTCTTCATAATCTTTTTCTAGTGCAATCAAATCTTCTTTTGTCTCACTGAATTCGTTTTCCTCCATCCCTTCAGCCACATACCAGTGTACGAATGATCTTTTGGCGTACATACAGTCAAATTTATGATTTAATCGGGTCCATGCTTCGGCGATTGATGTTGAATTGCTTATCATGCAAGCGGCTCGGGTAACTCTGGCTAAATCCCCACCGGGAACCATGGTAGGTGGCTGCGCATTAATTCCAACTTTAAAACCGGATGGACACCAATCGACAAATTTGATATAACGACGGCTTTTTACATCCCGCACAGCTTCTTGAACCTCGTGACCACTCAAATTTCCTCTGTAAAGAAGACAGCAAGACATATATTTTCCATGTCTTGGATTACAGGTTACCATAAGTGCCTGTGGACGAAAGCAGCGCAAGGTTATTTCGATGCCGGATTGTTCACGATGAAATTGCTCTTTAGCTGGGTACATTGGTGCGTAGGCGATCAGTGGGAAATGGATTCGCGGATAGGGAACCAAGTTGGTTTGAAATTCCGGCAGATTGACATTCAAACATCCGGGGAATCGGAGTGAGGCAGTGGTGGAGCTGACCACTTGGGCAATCAGTCTGTTCAAGTTAGTGTAGGTTGGCCGTTCCAAATCGAGGTTGGTTCTGTAGGGAACAAATGATATCATACTGAGTCTCTCAACGAACAAATGAAAGTATAATTTCTAAAAATGATATTATGATTCATAGACGCTGTAGGCAAGGTCTGAGAAAAAATCCCGCCCAAATGTAACTGCATTGAACTATGCTCACCATCCTCAAAGTAGAATGAGGTGTAATATGACGACCGAATTTTTTGAACGGTGTTCAGTTGAACTTCATTTACACATCCATATCAGTTGATCTCCAATAAGTAATGAAGAGAAAGCAAGTGTTCAGTAATCTCTTCATTTCGGTTCAGAAAGAAAGCGAAAGGGCAACAATTTATTCGCCAGATTATCAGTATGTGGAAAACCAGAAAGTTTGCCATTCGAATATCGAAAGCTTTTGACAAATACAGGTTTACAGCTTCTAACCGAACGAAAAGATCGAAAGATTGCCACGATTTTTGTATTTTGGTTCCCCTTATCGATCTCAGGCAGATCAAATGTGGATTTTAGCCAGTTTCGTATGATTACTTTAGTCCTCGATCTGTGCGCAAAATAGTGAGTCAAAGAACTTCAGCCTCCTTGTTCTGATGTGGATAGAACAATTAACCTGAGTATTATCATGTCAATAAGTGGCCCACCTAATGTCAGTTCACTTCGGTCTGTGAACGTTGACCCAAATTCCACGCAGCCATATTATCCTTCCGAAATGACATAGCCCCCCTATACACAGGTCGGACGGGTAAATGTTGTGATTCACCATCATCCGGTGGAATATTTACAATAAATTACACGGATCACTCACCGGCACATAGTATAAATGGCTTCATTGTCCACAAGAAATGAGCAATCTGTATGTTCCAGTGTGGTGTGTGTTGTCAGTAATGCGTTGTACGGCTCCACTACTGCAGATGCAATCAGAGCTGATGGATAGATGACAAATTGAAATTTTGACTTCTTCCCGTAGTCCAAACTCATCCGTTCAATCAGGTGGGCTGTCAATCCTGATCCGGTGCCCCCGCCAAGTGAGTTGAAGAAAAAGAATCCTTGTATTCCCTCACAAACTTCGGCTAATTTCCGAAGTTGATTTAACACGAGGTCGGCTATTTCTCGACCTACACTGAAGTATCCCCGTGCATAGTTATTCGCCGCATCCTCTTTACCACTCACAATCTGATCCGGATGAAACAGTTGGCGATAAGTCCCGTTACGAACTTCATCTATTTGGATATGTGTATAATAAAGAAGATGGATTGAGCTAACAATGAAAAATATAGGGGAAACGTTCAATACCATTTGTGAGGTTGCTATTCCAACTATCAAGTGCATCTTCGTGGCTAACCAGAACAGATTGGTTCACAATATTAGAG